TCTTTTATTCCCTTTATGAGACTATCCAAGTTTTTTGTGACCTTTTGAATTTTACTTTTTACAATGATCATCTCTATCAGTTAATCCAATATTTTTTTTTCACAGTTTTGTTTTTTATATTTTTTAACATACTACAATGCACATCAAATAATTTTTATCCATTAAACAGATCGGTAAAAGTCTTCGTTATATCAGATCCTCTACTGTATCAAAAGTTTTAAGTGTAAGAGGTTTTGACAATAATTAAAAATAGTTTTCCTTTGATTCTTATCTTGGATAATCATATGTAACGTTGTAATATAACAAAGCGACAAAAAACACAAATTTTCCCAGTTCAATTATATTATCATATCAAAAACAAAGGCTCAGTAAATAGAATAAATCAAATAGATTTAATAGCATCGCGATATTGTAATTTATTGACGAAAACTTTAATAATTCACTGAAAGTTGCGGCACTGATTGTACAATAATTTGAATGTTTTGTATTGACTGTTGAAACACTGCTGATATTAAATATTTACCTTTGCAATTATATATTCGTATATTTTTGACCACAAATGGAGATATAAAAACGTTTGCTCCAGTTTTAGTGCATTATTGTAGTTATAATCAGTCATATTTGACATTAGCGTAAAAGTTTAATTAGTTGAATTTTGAGAGGATTGGGAACAAAACCGCTTACATTTACAATTTGAATTAATGCAAAAAAACATTATTGTTGGAAGACATAAAATAGCTAAATGGTAATTATATTCTAAAAAAAATATATATATATATATACTAACTAAATGTATATTAAAAGGTTAGGGATAAAAAAAATGTAAAGAAGAAAAGCTTGAATTAAGGGCTATATACTAAGGTCCTTAGCAAGAAGGCAGTATTTCTACAAATGTAAGTTTCGAGATAATGCAGATTTTAATAAAGAGGGCTAAGCCACTATGTAAATTCGATGAAGAAATATGATGTTAAAAAACTGGAAGATCCCAAGGCTCGACTGAAGTTGAGTGGAAATCTCAATTTAAAAGTGCTAAAATTCAGAAATTCAGAAACTATAGAGAAAAGTCTGACCATTATACAACAAACAGTGAGAGAAATAAGAGAACAGCACCTGAAGAGAGATACAGAGAAACGGAAATCATCTTGGATGACTGATGAAATACTTATGGATCAGAAAAAAAACAACCAAAATATATAAGAATATAAGAGAATACATAAATCGTCAGAAAAAAGATAAGATAAGCCAAAGAGAAACAAAAAAGCAAACAATGTCAAGAAATAGATGAGTAACAGAGTCGATATGATAACTTCAATGCCCATCGAAAGGTGAAAGAAATAGCTGATAATTTCCAACTTCTGAGACTTCCAATACATATTGTGGGAGAAATACAATTTAAGAAAATTTTTATGGATAGTCCATCGGTACTTACTACAGGAAGATTTGCTTTTGATTCTACTGATTTTTTGAATCATTCAGATTTATCAACTGGTCTTCTAAAGATGAATTCAAGACATTTTTTAAATTGGGGAGATAGTAAATACCATCTTGTTGTGGCAAAATAGAGGATGTTATATTTTACTGAAAATATCGACGTATTTATTTAGATTTTCAGGGTTTGGAAGAGAAAATATTTGTGTTAGTTTTATTTCGAAGATTGCTTATGATTGACCAAGTTTCTTTAGCACTATTTTTAGACCTTCCAAGACGAGAGATTTTTTTTAGCTATTTTCATAAGCTTTAGAGAAGTTTCTCTGTGCTTGGAGATACATCCAGTGACAAAGACGTTGGTAGTAAATTTTTTGGGGATAATAAATTAGGACCTAGTACTCGTTTCAGTACCTTTCTTTTAAAGATCAATGTAAATAATTAAGAACAGAAAATAACAATTTTACTAATAAATATTACAAAAATATATTAAATAAATCAATGTACACAAATAATACATATAAGTACTATATCTTACCTGTATATTTGAGAGTGATCACCAGCGTCTTTTTGATCTGAAACAAAAATAAAAGTTAATTAAATAGCCTGAATAGTTTATATGATCTATTTGGTGTAAATTCTCATAAAAGTCTTCAAAAATGCACTATCGTCTAACGAAAGCTTTTCTCTAACCTTTATCATACTTGTCCAGTTCAATATATGTGTGGCATCATGACATTAGATATAATCTGTTTACCATAAAATATAGAAATTTTAATTATTTGAAAGGTTTTTATGTTTTCAGTACCATTGTTATTTAATAACTTGTTTCCAAACAGGATAGTAAGTATTTATATTTTATATAAGTGGGGTGAAAATACGATTTAGGACCGCTAAAAAATGAAAACACCAGGCACCAGATACAAACCTATATAGAAAAAGAATTAAAAAATACAGACAAAGATAATTAACCAGATAACGAAATGGCAAAACTACAACAAATTAATTAGACAATCCTAGATAAATATCTTCACCCAATAAAGGGTAAAAAGAAAGAATGGACTACTGATGAAATCCTAAATATGATCGAGAATAGAAGAAGAGCTAAAAACAGAGACATGTGAGAGTAAATGAATTGAAACAGTAATAAGAAAAACTATTAGAGAAATCAAAAACAAATGGTTGGAAGGTCAATGCAGAGAAATTGAATCATTGGAAAGTAGACACGACTCGTTTAATCTCCACAAGAAGATAAAAGAGGCATCAGGAATGTACAAACCCAAGAGATCAGAACATATGACTGTTGATCATGGCTACCTGGTAATAAACATTGAAACAAACAAAATATATGCAAGGGATACGTTGAGAAGACATTCGATGACGACAGAGATAATAACCACATAATTATGGAATGCGACACAGGACCACCAATCACTCAAGACGAAGTCAAAGCCGCAATTAATGCAACCAAAGCAGGTAAAGCACCAGAGCCCGACAACTAAAAAATTAAAGAATTAACTCACAATAGAACAAGAAAACCAGGAATACTGAAAGATGCAAATGGGAAATGTGTGTTCAATACTAACGAAAAACTAAAGAGATGAACAGAATACAATACATCAATGAACTACTCAAAGACAATAGAACAGAACAGATGGAGATAAAAGTAGAACAGGATATGGTTTTACAGATATTAAAAGAGGAAATTAAAATATCATTAAAAAACAGGAAAAATGGTAAGCAGTAGGTCCAGACGAAATCCCTATAGAAATCTTAAAATGCATAAATAATGAAACCTTACACATACCGAAACAATGATTACTCTCCACCTTTTGTGCTATCCATCAAAATACAAACGCTAAATATTGCAGTGAATACAGAACAATATCACTAATAAGTTACATTCTCAAATTATTTCTGAAAATAATACATGGTCGTATAAATAAAAAACTGTAAGAAGGAATAATATATGTCAGTTTGGGTTCAGAAAAGCGTAATTTGCTTTTAATGTGTTAGCTCTAAGATGCATAGATATTAATGTTGATGTGCATGTTTGTTACGTTGATTTTGAAAAAGCATTTGACAAAGTAAGGCATGAAAAATTAGTCCAAATTCGAAAGACAGAAAACATAGACCACAGGGACTTACGAATAATTCTTCTTCTTCTAGGCCACTCCTAGCGGAGATTGGAAATCATCATAGCCACTGCGACTTTGTTAGCAGCGCGCCTAAAAATGTTCAATCGAACTACACCCGAACCATTCACGTAGATTACGAAGCCACGATATTTTTCTTCTTCCCACACTTCTTTTGCCCTTAATTTTGCCCTGCATGATGTTTCTTAAAAGTTCGTACTTTTCACCTCTCGCAATGTGCCCCAAGTATTCCATCTTTCTAGTTTTTATCTCATTTAGAATTTCGCATCTTTTGTCTAAAGTTTGGAGTACTTGCGTGTTAGTGACGCGGTCCATCCATGATATTCTGAGAATGCGCCTATAGCGCCACATCTCGAAAGCTTCGATGTTTTTTATGGTCAATTGTTTTAGTGTCCAAGCCTCAACTCCATATAACAGGGTAGAAAAGACATAACACCGCAGCATTCGTATTCGTAACTTTATATTGATATCACGATTGCAAAAGAGTTTGCGCATTATATTAAAGACTGAACTAGCGATTTCTATTCTACATCTAATCTCTTTTGTTTGATCAGTATCGTCTGTGATCCAAGCACCTAGATATTTATAACAGGGCACACGCTCAATCGTTGTATTGTCTATTACAAGATTAGCTCTGATGTTCTTTGATTTCGTGATTACCATAAATTTATTTTTTTTCAAATTAATTTTTAAGCGGTAACTGTTACAGTATATAATTGAGACTTTGAACGAGATGTTGTAGTTCTACTAGCGTTCCCGTTAGGAGAACAACTGTATCGTCAGCATACCTTATATTGTTGATCGTCTCACCATTTATTATCAGACCAAGATCTTCTTCCTCGTGTCCTTGTTCACAGATATCTTCACTATACAAATTAAATAAAAGTGGCGATAAGATACATCCCTGCCGGACTCCTCGACGGATTTGAATTTCTTCTGTTAGTCTGCCCTCAACCTTGACATTTGCTGTTTGATTCCAATATAGATTGCATATAATTCTAATATCTCGGCTGTCTATATTTTTCTTTATTAGAACTTGTCTTAGTGGTTCATGTTGTTCTTTGTCAAAGGCCTTTTCGAAATCAATAAAGCAGGCGTAAATTTCTTGTTCATGTCTAAGCATCTCTGTGAGAGAACGTTCATTGCAAACAGAGCCTCCCTTGTACCCAGCCCTTTTTCTGAATCCCATCTGAGTGTTACTGATGTCTACGTCCTAATTTCCTATAGATCCTATTATGGATTATTTTTAAGAACAGTTTTTAGAGCATGACTCATCAAAGCTTTACGAATTATAACGAATAATATTCGACTATTACGAATAATAACAAACCTCTAATGGAACCAAAGAGCATAGATCGCAATAGATAACTAACCTAGTTCAGAAATTGAACTCAGGAGAGGAGTTAGGCAGGATGTATTATGTCCCCATTACTGTTTAATGTATACAGTGATGCCATTTTTGAAGAAACATTACTATCTCAAAGTGAAGGAATAATAATTAACAGAAGATGTATTAACAACATAAGATCTGCAGATGACACCGTAATTATGGCAAGCTCCGCTGAACAACTCCAATTACTGCTAAACAAAACAAACAGTTTCTGTGAAAAATATGGACTAAAAATGAATATAAAAAAGACCAAATACATGATAATAACAAAGAAAACAAATATACCAACAAACGTACATTTGGAAAATGTACCGATAGAAAGGGTTGATAAATACAAATACCTAGGAACCTGGATTTCAGACAATAATGATCAAACAACCGAAATAAGAGCTAGGATAGAAAAAGCAAGAAATTCGTTTGTAAAAATGAAAACAATTCTCTACAACAAAGATCTTAGATTAGAACTGAGAGTAAGAGCACTGAGATGCTACGTGTTTTCGATACAGCAATATGGACTTGAAAGCTGGACATTGAAGCAAGAACACATAAATAAGTTACAGTCCTTTGAAATGTGGTGTTACAGGAGGATGCTTAGAATAGCGTGGACACAGAAGAAAACTAACACGGAAGTATTGCGAGAAATGGACAAAGAATGCGAAATAATAAACACAATAAAAATAAGAAAGTTACAATATCTGGGACACATAATAAGGGGATAGCGATATGAACTGCTAAGGCTGATAATACAGAGAAAGATAAGAGGAGGAAGGAGTATAGGAAGAAGGAGAGTGTCATGGTTGGAGAATTTAAGGGACTGGTTTAAATGCAGTTCTATAGAACTCTTCAGATTAGCAGTAGATAAAGTAAACATAGTGATGATGATATCCGACCTCCGATTAGGAGACGGCACAAGACGACAACAAGAAGAAATTTTGTCATTTTTTAATGCTAATAAATTTTCAATATAGCTCTTCTTTTTTTCTTGTAGTCTCATTGCGCAATGGTGATGATTATTATTTGTATCTTCTATCTCCCTAATTGCTAATTATTTTAAACATTTTTTATATGATACTAATTTTCTGTGATGTAAGTATATATGAATTCTGCTAACTTTTGGTCCTAAACTTAGCATCTTTTACTCGTTATTTTATTAATAGTACATAGAAACGTAACGAGATTCTCGTTAGGGAACTATTTTCCACCACGGACAATCAAATCTCAACTCAATCTGCATCGCTTCCATTGTGATAACTGTGTATGTACGAATTTGTATCATTACGATAATCGTTAACAGAGTATCATATGTTGCCTTGTAATGCAGACAATGCCGTCTAATTGTTACTCCGATATCTCGAATTCAGTCGAACGACAGAGTTAGAACTAACTAGGTGGATGTTGGGGTGAACTGTGTCAGGCTAGATTCCTATTGGATATACGATTCCAATTGATATTAGCTACTCGATATATTATATCAAAAGTGGGACAAGGGAGAACACAATAAAATAACGTGTTGTTGAATTACTCTCAAATGGATGAAATATTGTTGTTTTAGCACCAAAGCACATACAATAAATTATTCATTTATACATATACATTACAATTATTAATGCAGTTTTGGTAGTGTTTGTTTTAACAAATTTAAAATACTGTAAAAGTGAAAGAATTTGTCCTGAACATATGACTTTATGGGAAACGTACTTTTTTACAAATTTAAATATTACATCAATTCGTTGCACACTACAGAACTGAACTGTATAGTACTGTGGAAAAGTGCTGCCTGATATTACGTAGATTTTTTTTATATTTAATTAATGACTTTGGATAACTTCACCCATTCAGACACGATTGAATTAGATTACTTGAATTAGTTATTGATTGCATTTGTTAAAAAAATAGTACTTCGCCTAGAGGTAAATTAAAAATATATTGTAAACATCAGTATCACAAGAATCAATAGATTGACAAGAAACTATACTTTCATTCGTTATATTTAGGGCCCTAACCAACTTAAACGAATATTTAGAACCAACAAGGTATTACCTAATATAGGGATACTTTTTACGCTAAGGTGACTTTCATAGCGACTTTATTACAACACAAGACGGGCAACGGTTAGGAGGTAAATATATAATATAAGGATAGACATAGGGAACAAAGCTAAATTTATACATTCATATTACACATTTCATCCTAAATTTTTCTTTTAGGCCTTTTAAATGTCCCCAAAAAATTTGGTTAAGCCTAATATTACGCGAGAAGTATATCAAATAGAAGATTGGCTCTGAGGAAAAAGTATTTGTTCTTTTATCAGATTTTCCAATAGATACTTCATAGCAGTATCATTATATATAATATATATATAATATATATATATATATATATATATATATTGGAAACTTATGAATATCTATATATAATATTATATATATATATATATATATATATATATATATATATATATAAGGTAGTCCAAAAGTTTTTTGACTAGTTTGGAAAAAATATGTAAATACTTTTTTTCTTTTTGGGTGTGGTAGTCAATAAAAAATAGAGCTTTGCTAAGGCGTACTATTTATTCTGAATTCCGAGCTTTCGGTGGTTATTTGCCACCTTTATCAAGGTCTACAATGAAAATTACTGTGTTATAACATTAGGCTGATGTAATATAAAAGTTATAAAAACTTACCAGAAAGTAAGATTCATAGCATATAAAACACAACGTTAAATAACATAATGTGACCTGAATTATTGAAGGCATTAAAAATTTTAAAAACTTTAAAATACTTAAAAATTAAAGAACATGTTACAAAGTTTAAAAGTAAAAAATAAGACGACATGTTTGACAAAAAACAGTCGTCTTCGCAGGTTTGAATTCAGTCACATCTAAATTCTAAGTTGGTAACATGGTTGGTAGTACCTAAAATCACAAACGGCATTTTGTTAGACATCAGTTTGAAAGTTTGTTTTTTGTAGTTACATCGAACTATTTAAACAACAATAGTTCCTCCTACTACCTCTTTCTGTTCGTGAGATGTGACTGAATTCAAACCTGCGAAGACGACTGTTTTTTGTCAAACATGTCGTCTTATTTTTTACTTTTTAAACTTTGTAACATGTTCTTTAATTTTTAAGTATTTTAAAGTTTTTAAAATTTTTAATGCCTTCAATAATTCAGGTCACATTATGTTATTTAACGTTGTGTTTTATATGCTATGAATCTTACTTTCTGGTAAGTTTTTATAACTTTTATATTACATCAGCCTAATGTTATAACACAGTAATTTTCATTGTAGACCTTGATAAAGGTGGCAAATAACCACCGAAAGCTCGGAATTCAGAATAAATAGTACGCCTTAGCAAAGCTCTATTTTTTATTGACTACCACACCCAAAAAAAAAAGTATTTACATATATATATATATATATATATATATATATAATATATATATATATATATATATATGCACCCGGACATACAATTATTGATCTCGTCAATGTTAAGATTACAATTGCAGAGTTCTGTTTCACTTAAATTAAATCTATGAAGATAGGCTTTCACAGTGGTATGATTAACAAGGCATTTAACGAACATTGAATATATACTCTTCTATTGAGATGACTTCTTGCAGCAAAAGGCGTAGTAGTAAGTTTTCCCCTCCTCAACCTATTTAGTTGAAGACTATAAAGTGTAAACACATACCAAAAATAGATCACTTGAGAAAGTCACTCTGCCGAAACAGCTGTAGTGATAAGATATTATAATAAATTTCGTGGAAGTTTTGAAAACAAAAGTTTTCAGTATTTTATTCTTATATAAAATGAATTTCCATTAAGTGACAGTCGAATCCATCACCTAATTAAAAAAAAACTTACATCGATATCGTAATTTCGCTTTAAGATATAGCAAAAAGAAAAGCAAAATCGATTTTTTAAAAATACTTAACTTCACCTCTTATTTCAACCCTTACAATAAGATATCTTGATCTTTAAAATAAAAAATTCTGAAATCTGATCTGATAAAAAATCTGATTTATAGCCTTACGTAGCTCAGAAATATAAAAATAGATTTAATATACGTTGTTCTGTACCTCGATTACTAAGATGTATAAAGTACGGTCCTTTTGAAATTGTCTAAGTGTGGCTGACACAACTCTATAACTCTTTTTCCGGATGAAATACATTGTATATTATTATATAGTTATTTTTTGGTTGTGCTGCATTAGTAAGAATATTTAATATTATTTTAACAAAGTAAAAATATGTGAAAATACGAATATCAATTTAGATGGAACAAATCGATCGATACATTTCTCTCGGCTTTCCCTATTTTATCTTGAATAAGGTAAAGTAAAAGGCAAGGGACAAACGAGGCACTAGTTTCATTAGTTCTATAAATGGTAGATATTTTGCAGACTTACAAAGGTGAATTTGTACCGATAGAACTTCGGTTATAGCTTTGCCAACTCAATTATATAACTCAAACTAAAACAAGTAATAAATGGGATAGGATCCAAGTGATGTTTCTAACAGTTTGGACCACATTTAGTTGGGGCTTTAAGTTTCTAGGTAACCGATAGAAACAATAGTTCTGTACTGATACATTTGCATAAAAAAAACTATTTGATCGTATTTTACATGTCACAACAGGAATATTATGCTTAAGATGTAAAAATATGTAATAAATAGCTATCAAAAAACGTAAGTAGGTAGGTTGTATAATTATCATAAGCGAAAAACTACGATAATATCTTATTAAATAACCAAAGTAATATCAGCGCAGCTTATATATACAAGTTACTATGTACTAGAATATTCTATAATAGTCCACCTCTTTTCTTGCTTGTAATAACGCCTTGATCTGACATCTGGTCGATACATCAGGAACAATCTAGAACACACATCATCATCTCGAGAGATGCAACCGTTATATGGGGTACATCAAAATAAGGTTGATCGTTACACTGCTCCATCTTAGATCGAGCGTCCCGATCAGCAACTTTGCATAAAGGCCTAGGATGGCAGAAGCTACAGGACTATCCAACTCTACTTAAATCCCTCAGAAAAAAATATCAGTCTTTAAAGGACACGATTTCTTTGGGTTAATGCAATACACAGTAATTCGTACGCCGGTTTCTCAGATCACTTTGAGCATGCTTTTAACAATCTTTCAATCCAGATTTTCTAGTGCATGTCCTATCTTCAGTAAGGCTAAATTCTTGACGTCATAAATGCACATGATGTTCTTCAAATTAGTTAGAGCACGCCATATATCCTCGTAGCTTGCCTTGTCTGTATACGACTTCCTAGTCACCATATACAACAATGATCGAAGACTATCTTTTAATCTCAGTACTCTTCCAACGTTGGATTGCTGATTTTTTAACTCGTCCAAACGACCCAACTTCTTGTAGAATACGGACGAGATTCTTTCAAGGTCTTTGGCAATACAGTGCGCTAGAGAGACGTTATTCGGAACACTAATAAGATCCTGCTGAACTTCTGTGGTCACGCTGAATCTAGCACTCTTTCTGTCTGCGTAATTTGACATAAATTAATTAAAGCTTGGTCGCCGGTCATCTTTGATCTCATGTGGAAATCTTCGTGCTCTTTTCTGTTTCATTTAAACCAACATAAAGTGTAAGACGATGTATGTGAACTACTCTTGGGTTACCATTCGGCAACTTCTTACTTTAGTATATTACGTCATTTATTGTCGTTTTAATTTCATACAAAAGTAATGTATTGGTTGGTGATCAGTTCAGTTCAGATCAGTTGGAAGCTATGAAGAAGATGCCAAAGAGGACGTCAAAAGCTCGGCGTAATGATAATCGATGAGGTTAAACCTCGAAGACTATTGAGTTTATTATTTATACTTGTAATATTAAAATTAATGGGAAAATCTCAGTAGTTGGCT